AAATAATCTCTATTATTGAAGTTATGAATAAAAGCAAGTATGTTAATCAATAGACTCAAACTTGAGTTAAATAAGCTCTATTATTGAAGTTCTGAATAAAAGAAAGTCTGTTAATCAATAGACTCAAACCTGAGTTAAATAAGCTCTATTATTGAAGTTATAAATGTGAGCAGTAACTAGAATTTTAAGGACTAATCAAATCTTCTACAAGGGAAATTATTCCAAACGTAAATGGGGACAAAGCAACTGTAGACCGTATACCACTTGTAAGTGCAAATGTAATCTGTGGCAGAATCTCAGAAAGACACCGAGAATATTGCAGATACAAATAACAGGTAATGTTACATCACAATATTGATAAAGATAACAATGGACTGCTCTGCCTATATTGCTAAACGGATAAAGATAACAGTGGACTGCTCTGCCTGTATTACTAAACGGATAAAGATAACAGTGGACTGCAAAAAATATAATATAAAATAAATTTGTATTTCTTTATCTTCTCTACAAATTTTTGAAATATTACTTTCTTTTCATTATTCATTACGCAAACTAACCATTTTAAAAATAAACAATTAAGACTATTTGATGAACAGTTTCAGTTGTTCATCACACCATGTTAATATCACGTTTTGTTTACCAGAAAAGCCAACGAGGATCTAAGCTTATATTTTGGTTCATCTTTATCCATTTAATAATGGGCAGAACAGTCCACTGTTATCTTTATCCGTTTAGTAATACAGGCAGTTCTTGTGATCTGAAGTATATTACTTGTGTGTTCTTGTTATCTGAAGTATATTACTTATGTGCTCTTGTTATCTGAAGTATATTACTTGTATGTTCTTGTGATCTGAAGTATAGTACTCATGTGTTCTTCATGTTGAAAACTGTTTATGGTATATGTATTTGTTGAGAAGTCATTGATTGTAATTAACGGTATATTTGTATAATCTTCTTATATTTAATTAAGCTCTAAAAGCAACCGACCGGATTTTATTAATACAGAAACAAAATCTTAACAGCACACAAGTAATATACTTCAGATAACAAGAACACACAAGTAATATACTTCAGATCACAAGAACACACAAGTAATATACTTCAGATCACAAGAACACACGAGTAATATACAACCGATCACAAGTACACACGAGTAATATACAACCGATCACAAGTACACATGAGTACTACACTTGAGATCTCAAGAACACAACTAAATACTTTACTTCAGATCACGAGAGCACACAAGTAATATACTTCAGATCACAGGAACACATGAGTACCATACTCATCTCACAAGAAAAGAGCACACGACTGTAAAGTTCAAATCATAAGGACAGTGAGCACTGCACTTCAGATTACAAGGTCACGTGAGTACTGTATTTCAGATCACAAGGACCTTTACGTATATACTACAGGCCACACACTTAACTCTTTAGAATTATTTAATGTTGTTTTAAATCTTGCTAATTATTCTTCACAGTTTCGGTGATGATGACTTTCCTATAAAATACCGTGCATGACTCATCAGAACACAGCAAAACGTCTGTACAACTTCATGGTTGAACGTGTAAAGTGTGTGTGTTACATGACTAAATGACCTTAGCAGTTACTTCTAGTGTTTCCTGTTTCTGACACAAGGTGTTCGGTTTCCCTTTACGCTGTCATCCAAAGAGGATGACATGAAGAAGATATAGTGTATCCATGCAGTTCAAAAACAAGAGTTAAAAGCAATTAATAATAATATAACGTTGCGTTGTTGAATCGCTACTTTAGAGAGAAATACAAAATACGTATTAAGGCTTTTGAAATATAATTTTTACATTTGAGAAACCTTTCAAAAAAAGAAAAATAAATTCCAGAAAAAGGTTTTTATACTAAGTTGGTGAATGGGTAAAAACAAGAACAACATATAACAACGTAGAAAGTTAATAGTGTATTCATATATCACTAAAAACAATTTTTGAATGTATACAAAGTTTAAAATTCTGTTACCAAAAAAAAAATAGCATTTGGTGTTATATTTTGAAGATCAAAAACTGAAAACTAGGAAGCTGCTTTTAAATATTGCTCAGTGATTCATTGTTGAAAACTAGGAAGCTGCTTTTCAGATATTGCTCAGTGATTCATTGTTGAAAACTAGGAAGCTGCTTTTCAGATATTGCTCAGTGATTCATTGTTGAAAACTAGGAAGCTGCTTTTCAAACATTGCTCAGTGATTTATTGCTGAAAACTAGGAAGCTGCTTTTCAGATATTGCTCAGTGATTCATTGTTGAAAACTAGGAAGCTGCTTTTTAAACATTGCTGAGTAATTCATTGTTGAAAACTAGGAAGCTGCTTTTCAGATATTGCTCAGTGATTCATTGTTGAAAACTAGGAAGCTGCTTTTTAAACATTGCTGAGTAATTCATTGTTGAAAACTAGGAAGCTGCTTTTTAAACACTGCGGTTTGATTCATTGTTGAAAATTAGGAAGCTGCATTTTAAACATTGCGATTTGATTCATTGTTGAAAATTAGGAAGCTGCTTTTTAAACATTGCTGAGTGATTCATTGTTGAAAACTAGGAAGCTGCTTTTCAGATATTGCTCAGTGATTCATTGTTGAAAACTAGGAAGTTGCTTTTAAACATTGCTGAGTGATTCATTGTTGAAAACTAGGAAGCTGCTTTTCAGATATTGCTGAGTGATTCATTGTTGAAAACTAGGAAGCTGCTTTTCAGATATTGCTCAGTGATTCATTGTTTTCATAAAATGATTTTCAACATTTTATTCATTGTATTATACAAGTTATTACAATTTCTTATAGTTATTTTGAATGTACAGCAATCGCTGAAAGATACTGGATAGCTCCTGTGATCAACTACCACGTCTCCATTAGGCACTCTAGTGGTGAAGACCAGAAGTATGTTCTATTATATGGTGATTTATCTTGAAACTCTAGCAACATTTAGCTGTTTTGCAGTTTACAAAAATTGCTACCACAAAAGCATGACAATTTCCAGCAGTGCTGGATTAGAGTTAATCACCACATAAAATAGCCAGCACCCAATGGGCGACAGTTTCTAGCACTGCCACACCATCTGGTGGCGACCAGGTTGGGGCAAGGTTTTCCTCCACGTTTAGGACTTTTAATGATTTTTCTGATTTTGGTCATTTGTCCAAAGCCACACGATTTCGAACAGGCACTCCAGTTTGACCATTCGCTAACCTTGCAAGGTCGGGGTCGATCTAGGAGAAAATAAATAAAAAACCTCAAAAAATATGAAAAATAAATCAATCACGAATAGTTACGAAGGTGAAAAAACATAACACAATCATATATCTAAGCTAATTTGAAAGGCAAACAATCTACCTAAAGATAACAATTATAGCAGAGTAGTCTTTGTTTGTTAAAAATTACGTTTGTTTCTTTTTTTTAGTTAGATAACGTAGGCTGAAGTCACATGTAGCACTAGAGAGACTAATTATAATAAAAACAGAGGTTGAGTACGTTATACAACGAATTTGGAGTCTCGCCACGACATTATAGTCCATGTCGCCACGTACGGTTATGCTCTACCCGACGACAGTGCATCCTAACAATAACCCTGCAGTGTAGTTTTCACTGCAAGAGGCTTTGTCGCACGGCTGTCAGGTTAAAGGACATCAGTTATTTCTTCTCGCTTTCCATAATCTATCTAGTGAAACCAGGATGGCTATTTCTCACGTCCGTTTCAATAGTCCTATTGCACATAAATCCATAGGTGCTATGCCTGGTGACTTGGATAGCATGTCTTCTGATGGAATAGCATGAATATCCGTTTGATTATTCAGTTATTGGAGGTATATGATGGTTGAACGAATATGTCATGGAAGCATCTTCTCTTAGAGTGACTTGTGTCGTTTTTTCAGAGGAAGGCCCTTATTTATTATTTTGCGTGGTTGGCTTTTGCCACGGAATTTTCGTCGATATTCACCTGTTAAAAGAAGCCCCACTTTGCTTCTCGCAGTTGGGATACATCTTGTTTCAGGTCTTTTCTGGGTGGTCCTGGTGTCCCAAATTGATCCACCTTTGTTTTCTAATGCTATTAAGTACAAGGGATATCCCACCTTAGAAATTCTAAATCACCGATCTGAACAAATTTTCATGACCTGAGTGTGTGGATATTTTCCTTCGAAAATGGTGGATTCATACCATTTCTAAAGCACTTAATTTTCGGAGGCAGAAAATGATCTACATAGCGTCAAACAATACTAAAACGTAGTTCTCATACATACCGTTCTACGGCGACTTTATATTGGCTGCGGTTTGCATATTCAAAATCGTTTTGATAGAACGTATTCAGTCCTCAGTGTTACATGTGATTATGTGAGATTGAAGTTACAGAATAATGTGGCGATAAGCATGCTGAAACTTTTTTTTTAGCGTTAGTTCCCTAAGCAATTTCCGGGCTCCTTGTGTATATTCTAACATAGTTCTTTCTTCCTTAAGATTTCAATAAAAAATATCTATTGTGAGTGCTTAAGTATGCGTTTAAAAACCCTTTTCATTTATTCTCCTGAACTACCAACAAATATTTTAGTCAAAGAAATGTACCAAAAGAAAACAGATTTTGAAGATAAAGTTCTTTGGAAAACGTATTTTCGTCCAGTTGACAAAGAAAGGAGATTTGGAAAATATATATCAAAATAGGATAATCGTAAACTCTCTAAAACACGTGTGAACCTGGAACAGATGAAGCACAAGTGTATGGGAACGGTTAGTAATATACTGTAGACGAAAAACAAAGTGCACAGATATGCGCGCGCAGGTTGTACAAGACTGAGGAGACAAATGAAGTGTACTAAGTAGTTGAACATGAACTATTATATATACTACCGATATGTGTTAATAACTATTAGTAGACAATAGATACAGACATTTGTAAGTTTACAATAAAGAAGATGGAACATTTAGTGACAAACCATAGGTGTGAAACATTTAGTGACAGACCATAGAAAAATGTAGCGAAACATTTAGTGACAGACTATAGAAACATGTGGGAAACATTTAGTGACAGACCATAGAAAAATGTGCGAAACATTTAGTGACAGACCATAGAAACATGTGGGAAACATTTAGTGACAGACCATAGAAAAATGTGTGAAACATTTAGTGACAGACCATAGAAACATGTGTGAAACATTTAGTTACAGACCACAGAAACATGTGGGAAACATTTAGTGACAGACCATAGAAACATGTGGGAAACATTTAGTGACAGACCATAGAAACATGTGTGAAACATTTAGTGACAGACCATAGAAAAATGTGTGAAACATTTAGTGACAGACCATAGAAACGTGCGAAACATTTAGTGACAGACCATAGAAACATGTGTGAAACATTTAGTGACAGACCACAAGAAAAATGTGT